AGTGGGGAACAGGACAGGCCAACTGACATTGGAGTACACTTCTGAGGGGAGCAGCTGGAAGGTCAGGAGAGTCTGCCATGCCATGTGCATCACCTCCGGGGCAGGGATCGAGCTCATGCTAAAGTGGCTTTTGGTTTCTTAGTGCTGTGCTTTAACCTGCTGCACCACCAGGGAGGGCCTGATAACTATGTTTTAATAGAAGCATAAGTAAAGCATGAATTTCCAGAATGAAGAATACACATTTTTGGAGGAAAGAGTAGGAGGAGATTTCCTGAAAGAAATGATATGTGATCAAGCCCTCAAAAAAATAGGCAGAATTTAGAAGTGGTAGAGTTTAAAAGAGTAAGGCAGGAAAAGAATATTCCAGAAAAGAGCACTGTAAAAGAAAAATGCTGCTTAATGCAACATGTTATTATGTAATGTTATTTAACAGCCCAAATGGCATAAGGAAATATGCCATGCTCCAGTTTTCACACAAAGATACAACAGTTCAAAATGAATGTGGGTGTGTTTTCCTTCAAAATAAAGTTTATTATGGGGTCTCTCTTGTGGTGCAAGGGGTTAAGTCTCAGCACTATGAAGCTATTAGCTGCCACTGCAGCATGAGTTCTATCCCTGGACAAGGAAGTGACCCACATGGCCCAGCAGACCTCTCCTGTCTCACCTACTGCTCCCTCAGCAGTGTATTTCAGTCAGTCCACCTGTTTGCTCCCCACTGTCTCTGGTGAATTCTCTCCCCCCCACACACCTCTGATCTGTATCCCAACTCTTGTATGTATGCATGCATAAATAAATAAATAATTTTTTTAAAAAAAATAGTTTATTACTGGCATGCCTACTCACACAACATTAAGAATACAGTTCATGATCAGGCTATTGATGTAGCTTTTATTTAACAATTGAAATATCTCAATTGAAGTATCTTACTTAAAAAAAATTCCAAGGGTTTGAGGGTGATTTAAACAACAACTAATATGCAAAATAACTCAACTGTTTGGGTATCTGAGGTACCTAACCATGAGCATAATAGAATTTCCATCAATGAAGTAAGCATATTGAAGATAAGCAAAGTAAAATAACAAAACATGTTAATTTAAGCAAATTTTTAAAAATTTTTAAAAATTTAAATTTTTTTAAAGACTAATGTATGCATACAAGAACTGGGGTATAAGCCAGTGTGGGGGGAGGCAGGGGAGAGAGGATTCACCTGAGAGAGCAGGGAGAACAGGAAGATCTACTGAAAGACACTGCTGAGGCAAGATGGGAGAGGTCTGTTATGCCTCAAGTTAAATTATTTTCAGTGACCATATAGAACAATACTAAATTTTCAAAATATATTTTAATTGCATAAATTTAAAGTTTAGAAGTATCTTAAATTCAATACCTAAGTTGAATAAGTGATCTCATTCCCCATTCATACCATTTTTTGTTTTAAATGTCATTCATCACCTTGAACTATCTCATGCAGTGTGTGTGTGTATATATACATATAGGGTATGATGGAATGACCACTAGACTGGTTGCCAACAAACTGAATTCTGCTACAGTCAAAATACAGCAATTTAGGCACATTACTTCACTTCTGTGACCCTTAATTTACTCACCAGTAAAACAAGTAAGACTAGAAAATCAACATTTGACTCTAAAATTCTATAAATTAGCAGCAATTTATTTTAATCAATGCAGATCACTTTAAAGTAAAAGTAGTAGCAACACATATTGAAGATTCAAACTGAAGAACTCCACAGAACTTCCAAATGCAAGAAGGACCTTTCAAAAAATATATATCTGAAAACTATTCAAGTAGTATTTTGAACATACAAACTTTTCTGATAGAAAAAAATGGCAGAACAGTAAAAATGTTCAAGAAAAACCACAAGAACAGTAAAATAAAAAACAGATGCCTCATACACAGTTATTGCTACATGACAGAAGCTTTTCAATACTCCTAAATCCTGACAGAAAAAGAAACAAAAGTCTTTCTTTACCATCCATGTAAATGTACTTTTTGCAAATTCAAATATAAAAAGAACAAAACAGCAGCAACCTAGAGAAGGAATCATTCATATCTGTTCAATTTTGTACCTTTCATGCCTTTAGTAATATGCTATGAACATAATGGCAGTTGACACTGGTTGAACAGTGACTAAATTAAAATACACAAATGTCTATCTAACAAGTAAAGTAAATCCATACATAATAAATTCTGGTCAGCCTTTATTCCTTTGAATTGTATTTAAATAAAATACAATATCTGAAGTAGAACAGATAAAAATAAGTGAATATGTGAGATCTCTACCATCCCCAGGCATAAGAATTTGCAATTACAAATTAAGGCAGGTTACAACATACAATTAAAGCTATTCGATAAGTAACAAAATACACACACGTCCAAAACTGAGTAAAAACTTAACACTTACCTACAAAAAAATCCATGGCCTATTCAAAGACATGTGCTTCCTACTGCAGACAGCAATGGCAAGAAAATCTTAGCAGTTCACAAGTTTAAAAAAAAAAAAAAAGCTTTAAAATACTTGATAATCTAAATTGCCTTGTGAAACAAACTTAATTAAATTAAAAAGCAACAACACAAGTTAACTTTAAGCATTTTGTGCTTTTTTTAAAAAAATGAAATCAGGCCAAATGCTTAAGTTTGCACAGCAGGCACATTCTGATAAGTTGTAACAAGAATTAACACAATTATATCTAGTAAGACACCCAGTTAAAAAGAGGTATTTCAGGGACCTCCCTGGTACCATGGGGGTTAAAGCTATCCTCAGCCACTGCAGCACAAATTCTATCCCAGACCAGGGAGGTGGCCCACATGGCACAGCAAATCTCTCCTGTCATGCCCACTGCTCTCCTCAGCAGTGTATTTCAGTTGGCCTGCCTGTTATGCTCCCCACTCTCTCTCTCTGGTGAATCCTCTCACCCTCTGTATCTCTAGCCTGAGCCTCTGTTCTTCTATGCATAAATAAATAAATCTTGAAAAAAAAAAAAAAAGAGGTATTCCTCCAGAAGCCATGGAGAGAAGGAGAGAATCACAGCTACATAGATAAGTCACAGCAGACAACAGGTGCATTCTGGTAAGTTGTAACATGAATGCATTTTTCTGATTAGTATCCAATGTGTATTCATTCAACATTTACCTGTCAATATCCTACACAAAAAAAATTAAAACCCAGTGTGCCTTACATGTAAAGATAAAATCAGATAAGGGCCTATCCTGTCCTCAATAGGAGATAACAGGAAGATAAACACCTAAATACAAAGTAGAAAGTGTAAATGGCCTGAGAGATTTTTCAGAAGTACAGGAGGAGTTGTTACTACCTCACAAAAATATAATATAACCTTTTCAACCGGCTTAAAGCAATTTCATAGTAATTATTAACTCTTAGCCAACCGGAGGAAGACAGGGGTTTTCCTACTATCATAGCTGAGGAAACTGAAACACAGAAAGGTTGATCATGTTCCAAAGTGTAAAATAGTTAAAGAAAAAAATCAGGGCACTTTGTATCATCTTTTCCTCAGGGGAGCAGTTCAACATATGGTAAGCCTTTTGTAAAAAGAGAGCCTATTTAGTAATGCAAGTAATCACATTCTTATATATGTATTTAAATGTTATTCATATATGTGCATGTGTATGCATTAACCTTGATTTCCATGAACAGGTGTGCTTAAAGCAAGGCAAAGCAACTGTGTACTATAAATATTAAAGTAAACTTCCACTGGATTATAACACAATGGAAAAATAAGATACAATATGTCTCCAACAACTTGTTATTTCTACTGTCATTTTTACCCCAGTATAAATCAGAATCTAAAATTGGTCTGCTTCTGAGTTCAAGCAAGTTGATTTATGAAACAGCTTTATGAAAGGAAACATCAAACATTTCCCAAAACTACTAGAAATTAAATAATGGCATCCACTCTTCAGTATCCAAGAGGCAATCACACGTGACCCAAAAGCAGCAGCTACTGATCAATATGTGTTGAACGAATGAATATTTGTAGGCATTTTTAAAATCCTGGGCCTGCTGCTCTTTGCACACAGTCATGTTCTGCCTCCCATCTCTGCCTCACTAGGGTGCTCATAAAAATGTAAATTTCAATATAATTGAGACACAATTAAGGAAGCAAATCTAATGCAGGTGAATATACTACCCCCAAAGATTAGGATTATTTATACCACTACTCTCCAAGGTGAACTCTGTCGAAGCTGCTCTGTGGTATGCATTACCAGAAAAAGAAAAATGACACTTCCTGAGTTAACACTTTTCAGAAATGCCACTTATTCCCATAAACACGATTATATGTATCCAGTTAATTTGAAGAATTAAGTGTCCCCTCCACTATGACTGATTCCTCAATTAGTTTCTCAAATCCCTCTTAAGTGGTGCATCCATTGGCTTCGCACAGGAAAACACCAATAATAAACGGCAGAAGGTACACGGTTCCGATCTTTGCTATTTCCACGGCTACCCACCCTTCGCCATTACACCCCGAAGTATTCTGGTTAGAAAGGTGAACTAGTTTGCTCTTCACGCACTTACCCATCGCTGTCACCCTCCCTAACCCCTTCCACACTCCAAAGACCGTCACCAACTCTGGCCCCCAAGGAGCCCAGGCCCGCCACCTGTGCCGGCCCCACCCGGGGTCCCGGACGCTCCCGGTCTCCCTCTTCGGCCCTTCGGCACCACACACCCCCTCCCCACAGGACAGCTCGTAGCCGGCTCCGGCCCGGCCGCAGCCCATTCTTCCTCCAAACTCCATAAGCCTCCTCCACTAGCCCAACCCAAGCTCTCCGCCGCGCCCGACTCGCCCCTGGGCGACCGAGGGCAAGAGGCTGGGCAGCCGGGGCGGGTCCCGACTAACCGGGCCCGCGACGCCCCTCGCCCGGCAGAGCAGCCGCTCTCGCAGCCAGTGCCGGGGGAGCCTCGGCAGCCCCGGGGCGAGCGGGGGCCAAGAGGCCGGGGCAGCGGTCGCCCGGGCCTACTCACCCGGAGCTGGCGGAGCGTGGGAGGCGGCGCGCCCCTCAGTCTGAGGAGCAGGACGCGGCCCTGGCGCGCGTCTCTGCCCGGAGACCTCGCCTGGCGCGGCTAGCCGGGAGCTCACTCCAGCAGCCGCTGCCGCCTCTGCCGCTGCTTCGCCACCTTGGCCGCCATCTTGACTCAACCCCTCTCCCTCCCCCCCCTACCCGGGCGGCCGCGGCTGAGGCGGCTCCGGCGGCGGCTCCTCCTCCTTCCGGAGACTTAGGATGCAGACTCCCTCAGCTGGCGGAGCGCAGCTCCTACCTTGGCCGAGACGCTTGAGCTGCCCCGCGCCTGGTCTCCACACATTTCTGGGTCTGGCGGCGGAGGCGGTCCCCTCGACCGGAGTCGGCACCGAAGAGCGCCGTGCTCGGCCTGACCCTGCGCGCTGCCATTGCGCCCCTAGGTGGAGCCGCCCACCGGTCCCCCGGACCCTCGGGGTCTTCCACCGGGCGTGGGAAAAAAAAAATGGGATAAACTAGCTCTGGCCCCGCGACCCCTTCGCGGCGCGGCGCGGCGCGGAGCGGCCGGACTGCGGTGGCCTTCTGAGGCCCCGGACTGCGGGAAGGGGACGAGAGCCCCACGTGCTGGGGCCCAGAGTCGTGCAAGCTCACCTACCAAGTCATTTTCCAAGGCTCCGGCTGTAATCTGCACCAAGACGTCACTGGAGTGTCAGGCGAGGCCGATTTGCTCTTGAAATCGGTCGTTTAAGCACAAGTCTCTCGACCGAGGAGCCTGTAGCCCTGGCGAGTACCGAGGGCACGTTCAGCCTCACTCTTCCACTGAAACGACCTCACGGTTCTTTGTAACTACATACTTTTACTTTAGAAAAGCCACCATTCCACATCCCAAAATTAAGACGGAAAGACAAAGTCGGTGCATCACCCGGATAGGCATGGTCTCGCCATATAATTATGAAGAGGTCCCAGGTTTCAAGAGATGAATTCTAAAATGGTGAAGCTAGGAGAGAACGTTTACTAAAAGATGCGAGGGCTGTTTAAACGCTTCCCTTTAAACCCGTTGTGCTGACAGGACAAGGATAAAAAACTACCGTACAGGATTCACAGTTCAGCTCTGAAATCGAGCAAGAATAGACTTATTAAATGCGGCGTAGAATGGAGAGAATTCATTAAAGGCCGGCTGGGAGGCATCTGTGTAAAGCTACCACATGAACTCGACGTTTAATGCTTCATTCACGGACCTAGACGGCAAGGCTTAGACTCGGAACGCAATTTCAGCGGCTGCAGTTTTCCCGCCGGAGGCAGGGTCAGCGACATCTTCCCTACTGCGCAGTCGCAGTGCCTTGGCGCATGGAGGTGGTGACGGTTCAGTGTTTGGTGGCTGCCTTGGTCCTAGCTTGTGGTTTCCTGTGGGTATGGAACGCCTCAGTACGAGCGAAGAATCAAGAGCAGACTGCCCTGCTGGGAGACGGAAATCGGAGCCTCCTAGTGATCGCGCACCCAGACGACGAAGCCATGTTCTTTGCTCCCACAGTGTTAGGCTTGGCCCGCCTGAGGCACCGGGTGTTCCTACTATGCTTCTCCTCAGGTAGGAGGCTGTAGGCGGGGCCCTGGGAGCTAGCGCTGTGAATACACCTACGACTGTTGTATTTGCAGAAGGATCAAGAGTAATGATTTTGCGATATAACCAACAGAATCCTTGTGTCTGGTTAACCCTTAAATGTTTTATTTCTGACTCTAGCAAAGGACTTCCTGATGCATTTAGAATCCGTTTTGTGCTCAAAAGAAACATGCTGGTTTGAAGAGGTAGATTCAGATCATTAGACTATGAAGTGATTTTTTAAGTAGTTTTGTAGTTTAACTCCCCCAATTTTCAGTAAAGGGGCTTTTCAAAGAATTCCAAAAATACAGAAAAGACCAAATGAGAAAACAAAAATGGACCATGATTATGATCTGGATTTGGTGGATTATGAATTATGGTGACAACTGCGCAGCTGTATAAATGAAGTGATTGCACAGACATATCTAGTGGGTGAACTTGGTGGTATGTAAAATTATTTCTAATAATTTTTTTTTAAATGCCCATGATCCCGTTTCCCATTTGGTTGTATCAGGTTCTTTTTCCATTATAGATTTTTCACAGAAATTACAATTTATACAATTTTATATTATTTTTGTCTTAATGTTAATTTATCATTCATTTAGCAAAAAGATTTTTAAAAATCCATGTGTACTGGAGACCTATTAGAATGGCTTAAATCCAGAACATTAATAACACCAAATACTGATAGGGGTGTAGAAAAACAGACACTTTCATTCATTGATGGTAGCAATGCAAAAGTGCTATAACCATTTTGGAAGACAGTAAGTTTAGCAGTTTCTTGCAAAACTAAACATACTAAACATACCATACCATCCAAGGATCACACTCCTTGATATTTACCCGAAGGGGTTGAAAACTTATGTCGACTGGAAAAAGATGTTCACAGCAAGTTTTTTCTTTTTTTATAATTTTATATTTTTTAGTTTTTACATCATTCTTCATTTTGTGCATTTTTTCATCTCAGTTGTAATCCCCCTGAGCTTCCCACCACCAAGTCACCCTGTGCCATCACCACAGTCCAGTGCACTCTTCCCACCCTAGTTCCTATCCGATTTCCCCTTCCACTCTCATAGTGTCTCTGGTTTATTGTTGCTCATTGTTTTCATTTTTAATCTATTACATTTGTTTGTCTCTCTCTTTTTTTCCTCCTGATCCCTTATGCTCCTGCTATAAGTGAAATCATCCAGTAGTTTTCTTTTTCTTTCCTGTTTATTTAAGCATGATCCCTTTCAGCTCCATCCATGTTCACAGCAACTTTTTTCATAATTGACAAAACTTGCATGCACCGGTACTGCCTTCAGTAGATGAATGGATAAACTGTGTTACATCCATATAATGAAATAATATTCTTGATTAAAAAAAAAAATTAGCTGTCAAGCCATGAAAAATCATGAAGAAGACTTAGATGGATATATCTAAGCAAAAGAAGCCAGTCAGAAAAGCTAATACAGAATCACAAGGCTACATAGCTACATGAAATTCTGGAAAAGGCAAAACCAGATAATTAAAATTTTCAGTGGTTACCAGGGGGAAGGGGGGAGGGTGCATAGAATTGATAGGGCAAAGGGCCCTCCCTGGTGGGGAGTCAGGTTAAAGCACAGCACTATCTAGCTGGACATAGCCGCTTCAGCACACTTCAGCACAGGTTTGATCCCCAGCCAGGGAGGTGACCCACATGACATGGCAAGACTTCTGTCTCGCCTGCTGCTCCCTTCAGCAGTGTATGTCATCAGTCTGCTTGTTCTGCTCCCCGCTCTGTCTCTGGTGAATCCTCTCACTGCCCCTGCACCTCTCACCTATACCCCAGTTCTATATGCATAAATAAATACATCTTTAAAAATATTGTTAGGGCAATGAAAAGTTATATTATAATGATGGAATATGGGTCATTATACATTTGTCAAACTCATATAATGTACAACATCAAGAGTGAGCCCTAATGCAAACTGTGGACTTATATGTCAATGTGGTTTCATCAGTTATAACAAATCTACCACACTGGTATGGAAATTGATAATTGTCTTTTTATGTCTGACTTATTTCACTTAACATAATGTTTTCTTTCTTTTTTTTTTTTAAAGGAAAGCTTCTACCTAGAGAATTTTTTTAAAGATTGATTTATTTATGCATACAAACTGGGGTATAGGTCAGAGGTGCAGAGACAGTGAGAGGATTCACCATTGACAGAGCGGGGAGAGCAGAACAGGCAGATTACTAAGTACCTTTGGAGGGAAGCAGTGGGCAGGTCAGGAGAAGTCTGCCACACCATGCAGATCACCTCCAGGTACTAGGGATCGAACTCCCACCAAAGCGGCTACAGTAAGCTTGCAGTTCTGCATCCAAACCCGCTGAGCTACCAGAGAGGATCCAAGCATAATGTTTTCAAAGTGCATCCATACTGTAGCATTATCAGAACTTCATTCCTTTTTAAAACTGAGTAATACCCCTTTGTAAACAGATACCACATTATTTATCCCTTTGCCTGTTTGTAGACATCTGGATTGTTGTGTTCGTTTTTAGGCTATTGTGAATACTACTGCTATGAACAATTAACTATTTGAATCCATATTTTAAATTATTTTTTACCTAAAATTAACTGTAGAGATGCTGAATTGTATAGTAATTCTATGCTTAAATTTTTGAGAAATCACTAAAGTGCAACCACTAAACTGTTCAAACAGCAGATGACCTTTTATACTACCAACAATGCACAAGGGTTCTAATTTCTCCATATCCTCAACTATACTTACAATTTTCCATTTTTGTTTTACTTGGGTTTTTAGTTTTCTTCTTTTAGCCATTTTAGTGGATGTGAAATATGTCATTGTGGTTTTGACTTGCACTTCCCTAGTGGTGAATGGTATTGAAGCATCTTTACTTGCTTTTACAGGCCATTAGTATATCTTTGGATAAATGCCTATACAAATCCTTTGTGCATTTTTTTATTCTGGCGTCATTTTTAAAGCATGGTTTCTCCAACTGAGTTCTATGGATACGTTTTAATGGAAGAGGGTTCAGCTCTTTTGGTTTCAGTTTCCGCTGAGGAGCCAAGATCTTTGGACTCTATTAACACTGCCTCCTTTTATCTCTCCACCCTAGGTTTAGTAGTTTCTCCTTGCTGTTTCTATTCTCTGGGTTGATTCACTCAAGATTCCCTATTTCATCCTATAACTCTCTGTTATATATCAACTTCTTTGCATTCCATTTCTGCATATGGAAGGATCAATATTTGATAGTTTCTGTTTTCCTGCATAGGTCCTAACCAGTACAGAACTAAACACCCCTCTTTTATGTTTGAGAAGATGTTCACCTTTTTCCTTCCTCCAACATTTTAGAATTATCTTGGTCATGATCATGGAATAACTTTGCTAGCATTCCCGAAACATAAGGAATTTCTTCAGATTCATGAAATTAGTAGAAGGCCAGGTATTCGAATACAATGCCTTGATTCCCAATCTAATAAATTCAATTCTAATAAGTTAAAACTTCCAAAATAGAAGCCTGGCCACCCCTTAGTGCTATGACCACAATGGCCCGAGTTCCATTTCTGGTCAGGGAGCTAACCCACATGGCACAGCAGCCCTCTCTTTTTTTTTCCTGCTGTTCTCCTTAGCAGTTTACTTCAGTAAATCAGCCTTCTGCTCCATGCTCTGCCTCTGGTGAATCCTCGACACAACCCCCACTTGCCCTATACTCCAGTTCTTCTACACAAAAATAAATAAAATCTTTAAAAAACCAAAGGAGCAAGAGAGGGTCTTGTTTTCTCTTTGCTGTATATGATTTGTTCCTTCTTATTTTTATGTAAATACTTTACCTATTTAGAATGAATAAATTAAGTTTTTAAATTAAACTATGCCTTTATTGTGGTATATAAATTTGGGTCTTTACAAAGTACTAACTTCTATTAGATGTGATTATGAATGCTGATTATTACTGAGAAGTATAAGTTATTGGAAGGCAGAAGACCACTAAGCATACGATTTGCATGAGTTTATATACACGTGATATAGTTCTATATAAATAAATCTATATTCCATTTATTTTGTTTTCTAGAAAAATGACCTCCAAACTTTTTGGTCACATTTTCCTATTTGTAAAAACTTTTGAACAAATGCCCCCATTATTTGTATATTTATCCATAATTACATTAAGTAGATAGAGCAATAAAGTTATGTGTACTTTACAAGACAGTAACCAAAGTGGACTTTCATAAAGGACAAGATAAGCAACAGAAGTTCGTAAAGCTTTTCCTCCACCCCACCAGGTTATCTTGTGCATCCCAGTATGTACCTCTTTACTTGGACGCTGTTTTAAAATGTCAGTTGAGAGCTGCTAAGAGATCTTAAACACTGTTGAAATGGCTACATGTTCACCTAACATGGTGACTATGTTATAATTATCTCTGACTTTGAATTCCTAAATCCTTAATTCAAACACATAGCAATAAAACCTCCAAGAGAACATTAGACTCAGTTCTAAGTAGTTTCTCAAACCTTAATGTGTCTGATATGCACAGCATCTTAAGAATCACATCGCTAGCATATTAGACTCTGTCAACAATGATAAAACTTTGGAACAAACCAGGAGAAGGTATGTATATGGGAATGGAAGAAACTGAAATGTCCACAAACTAACTGTAGGTCTCTATCTGACTTAAAATCCAAAAACTTGTGATGAGAACAATTCAAAATTAAATTATTACTTGAGTTCCTGTTTAGGGTTCATCTCTTTATTGGATACAATATGGTGGCTTCAAACAGTTCAAAACTGGCACTGGAGAAAGCCCTGCCAAAATTTAAAGGATTCACAAAGGAGTTTTTCCTCTAAGATATCCTGGACAGTAAGGGGTACCTCTCTTTGTTCAGTCCTGCATGAGTGCCTACAGGGTGCTAGACATCAGGATGATACAAAATTGAGTGAGACCATGACTTTTAAAGTCAGTGACACTAGGAAATAAATCCAACCATGGAGAAATGTTTATACTTACACATAGACTACTGGAAATGATTATTTGCCAGGAAAAGTAGATGAAGGCTTTCCCATAGGAAATGTCATTTGATCTGGTTTATAAAACTGAATTGACATTCAGGTAGAAGAGGATGAAGAAGGTAAAGACAAAAAAAAGTGGAGAAAAGAACTTTCATAAATTATCATCTAATTCCCAGGAAAGCCTAAGTATTTTTTCAATTTCTGTTCACACTTGACAGGTGGAGAGACTGGCTCAGAAAAGTTACTTGTACAAATCACACAAGCAATTATTTGCTAGAGAATTTAATTAAGTGGTATATTAGTTAGACATTTACACATGTAAGTGCAATTTAAGTGGTAACAAAGCTTCATTGTATATTACTTGTAAGGATACAGAGGAGTTGTACTTACCAAATTATTCTTAGAAGTATACTAGGAAAATAATATGTAATCTATTTGGGGTCCCAGTGTGGTCAAGATCCCCCATAATCATGCTAGAATTGCTAAGCTCCTCAAAAGAATACATTTTCCTGAATGATGCCTGAAGAGGCAGGAAGCTGTCTCTTTATTAAATAAGTATGTAACAAATATTTCAGGATTCTCAATATGTAAAACAGTGTGGCAATACCCCAGTTGTTATCAGTGGTTTTACAAGAGTCAACCCTTAATCAGTTGCTTTTGTGATATACCATGATGCCTGCAATAGGTGACTGTAATGCAAACCGACAAACACGGTAACTACAGACACTGGAAGGTTTGAATGGTTATTCAAACGATTTGTGCTACTAGTAGCTTCACAAGATTATGTAAGAGTAAGCTTAATATTGTATTTTCTTCAACTTTTTATCATAGCCACAAATATTTCAAGTAGTTTAATTCCTTTCGTGAGCAAGATAAGAAAAAGTGAAAAGATAGAGCTTCAATCTAAAGAAACCTACCACTATATATTTGCTATCCTCAGGAAATTACTACAATCAAGGGGAGATTCGTAAGAAAGAACTTTTGCAGAGCTGCAGTGTCTTGGGGATTCCACCCTCCAGTGTACAAATTATTGACAACAGGTAAACTTATCTTTTAACAGTGTTGAAATTCAGTGGCAATAAATATGCAGTGATACACTCAAAAGACAAAAAAGCTACTGTGGGTGGATAAGAACATCTTATTTGAGAAGTCAACTTAAAATAGTTTCACATTTGTTTTTAAATGACGGTGTAATGAAAATACATTTTTTCAACTTCTGTTCAGATTTGTGTCAAAATAGCTACTTCTCTTAGATCTTTAAAAAAGTTTATAATATTTCAAAAATACCAAAAGTATAGAGAACAGTATCCTAAATTCCCATATGCCTATTACCTAATCTCAGTAGTCATCAATCCTTACTGAACCTGCTTCGTCTGTCCCCACTTACCATTTTTTATGTATGAAATATTTTCAAGCAGGGATCTGAATAGGCAGATCTACGAAGTACACTGCTGAGGGGAGCAGCAGACAATACTAGAGAGGTCTGCTGTTTCATGTGATCACTTCTGGGCAGGGAGTCAAACTCTCACTGAAGTGGCTATGACTAGCTTTCAGCGCTGCATCCTAACCCACTGAGCCACCAGGAAGGGGCTTCTTTGATTTTTTTTTTTTTTAAAGAATTATTTATTTATTCATACAGAACTGGGGTACGGGCCAGAGATGCGGAGGGTGAGAGGATTCACCAGAGACAGAGTGGGGAGCAGAACAGGCAGATCAACGAAGTACACTGCTGAGGGGAGCAGTGGGCAGCTCAGGAGAGGTCTGCCACGCCATGTGGTCACCTCCTGGACAGGCAGGAATCGAACTCATGCGGAAGTGGCTTTAGCTTCTCAGTGCAGTGCTTTAACCCGCTGCTCCACCAGGGAGGGCCTCTTCTTTGATTTTTTTAAGGATTTCATAAAATCCTTAACATGAAAAGGGGCTTTTATCTTTATATACTTAGAAAAGCAGATATTGAAAACCAAGGCTAATATAATATGACTCTCATCATGATGTCTGCAGTTTATTTTAAAATGTTCAGGAAAAAATACCTATATAGATTAAACCATAATGGCAAAATATTAACAGTTGAACCTCAGTGGAAGGTACATGAATGTTCATTATAGTTTTAGCTTTTACATTCATTTGAAAACTTTTGTAGTAAAAAAAATTTCAGTACCAAACAACACACCTTTTCTCCTACTATTTTGAGGCACATATAAATATAACTTACTTTACTGTTACTGACCTGACTCTTCAAATAAAAATAAAATCAGAGACCTATATAACAGCAATTGTGGTTTGTATCACAACATTTGGGGCTTAATAACCTCCTTAGCTTTAAAAATCTCAACCTAGGCCCACCTTGGTGGCACAGTGGACTAAAAGTACAGCACTGCAAGCGAGCCACAGCCACTTCAGTTCAAGTTCAATCCCCAGCCCCAGGGGGGACCCAAAAGGTGCAACAGACCTCTCCTCACCCACCCCATGCTCCCCTCAGCAGTGTACTTGATCAATCTGCCTGTTCTGTTCCCTACTCTGCCTCTGGTGAGTCCTCTCACTGCCCCTGCACCTCTGGCCTGCGCCCCAGTTCTGTATGCATAAATAAATAAATAAATCTTTTTTTAAAATATAAATAAATAAAAATCTCAACCTAGCTTTTGCAATTTACTACAAATTAGTTTGTACTTGCTTCCCTTTTTTGAGGTTTTCCTTTTCTATTTTTGGGGTAATTTATAAGAAGGTGATACTACAACTTAAAACATTTTAAAGTGACATGTTACTTTAAGGCTAGGTGAAGAAAATAAAAAAGAATAGGTGAAGAGGGAAAAGTCCAGTGAAGAATTGCCAAAGTAGAGGTTTTCATGTTTCTATACAAAGAAGGAACCCACTCCTCTCACCCACCATTTGTTTATTATTATTTTCTACATCACTCCACTAAACTTAGTCCTAATTTGTTTTGTTTTATACCCTTAGAGATTAAAATGAGTATCTACTGACAAGTAGATATGAAAAAGTGTAATAGCTTGCAATGAGTGTTGAATCTGTTTGTGGCTCCAACAGTAAGATCTGTCTCAAGATGTGGAGTCAACCAGAAGCAAGACAAGTTTAGGGTAGTTCCCCAACATCATCAAAATCCTGAGTCCTTACAGTTTTTCTATGCCACTGTTTTTATCACATAAACAGGCTTCCCACAGTTACCAAGTGATTGTAGCAGTCCTAGTTGTCACATGCAGACACAACTGTGTCCTGGCAAGAAGGGGATGTTTTCCCCCTGCACATGTCTTTATATAGAGAGAAAACTCAGGAGTCCCTGGCAGATTTCCTCTCAGGCCTCCTGCCCTACATGATTGACTATCACTAACATCTGTCACTGTAGTATCAACTAGACACTGGGAAACCCTGTGTCTAGTATATTCTGCAGAGTGCTGTAATGGCTATAGAAAAAAGATGCTCATTTTGTCTTGCTGTCTTGTAAAACCTGTGTGTGTTATAGCCCAAATAGACTTGATTTTTCATTCAGTTAGGGTAGGGAAGGTTTAAAGGCTTGTCTTAAGCTGGGACATAGGTTTAGGACTACTCAGGGTGCAGAAGAAGAAGATTATTTTAAGTGTCAAATGCACAGCAAAGAACAAAAGGTAGGTTAAGCAGAGGTGAGGGCTCCATTTTACTGCTGGTAATAGAAGATTTATTGATTTTTATGTGTATTTCTTTTATTGAGTCCCAGGTTTTATAAGTGAGTCATCTACAAATAATCCTAATGTCATCTTCGATTTTTTTAACATGTCTCTCTTCTGTTCCACTTCTATTGCAGTGGAATTCCTTAAACTATGTTAAATAATTATGGGAAGGACAGGCAATTTATACGTATTAATGATTTAATTGAGAACACACCTAACACCTCAACATTAACTAGGTTAACTGAAGGTTATAAAAGATATTCCACATTCTGTTAGGCATTGTTGTTGGGAATTGTGTTAGATTTGGGGGGGACTTCTGTTCACTTTGATGCCCTGCAAAGAAACAGGAAAACATTTCAATTTTTGTTTTCACTTTACTTGGCTTAATGTAAACTGTTGGGATCATCTCTATCTATGCCAGTTGATTTTGGAATGTACAAATGAAGGCAGTGGACCTCTCCTGTCTCACCTACTGCTACTCTTAGCAGTGTATTTCAATAAATACACCTTTTCTGTTCTCCACTATGTCTCTTTCACCCGCTGCACCTCTGGCCTACACCCAACTCGTCTCCACAACAATGATGAATAACCAGGATAAAGCTAAATAAATAAAGAGTACAAATCTAAAGCCAGCCTTCCTGTGCTGAAACCTCTGCTTTACCAGGTTAACTGCATTATCTGGGCAAGTTATTTAATATCTGTTCCTAAACTTCCTGCATTGTGAAACTTGAAAGGCTATTTGTGAAAGAAATCATTTGTTCATTTTCTTAAAGATGATATGATTCACTTTTATTCTGTAGATGTATGCTGTAATTTGACTTTTAGTAATAGTTATAATAAAAATGAGGAGTGCTGCTAAGATGCTCCATTTGCACACAGACTCTTACCGGTATAATGTCAACATTAACCCAGTAATGTAAGATTTTTTTTTTTTAAGAGATTTGAGTTGGAAAAACTCTAGTCAAACTAAAGATCTTGGCTTAATTGTCAAGATCTTTACTCTTGTCATCTGACTTAATTACATTTTTTGTATATCTTAAAAGAAGCCAATTTGAAGATTCAGGGGAACAACATATCTTAGTCTGTTCAAACTGCCATAGCAAAATACCCAAGACTGGATGGTTTCAACCACAGAAATGTATTTTCTCACAGTTCTGGAGACAGAATTCTTAGATCAAAGTCCAGTGGGATCATTTTCTGGAGAATGTTTTCTTCTTGACTTACAAACAAGTCTATGTCTCATTGTATATTCACATGGAGAGAAGAGAACATATTCTCTTTTCTTATAAAGTCATCAGCCCTATAGAACTCAGTGCCGCCCTTGTGACCTCACTTAACTGTAGTTACTTCCCAAAGATCCTACCTCCAAATGCAGCCGCTTAGGGAGGTTAAGGCTTCAACACATGAATTTTGGAAGGACACAATACAGTTCCTAGTAATATGAAACCTTTAGTCTTCCGTTTCTCATTTCATGCCCAGAAAAAGTAGGGCTTTGGAATCTTACTTTAAGTTATTTAGATGACTCAAAGAATGAAGGGGAGGAAAAGAAGGAAAGATTTATGGAGGACTTACACCCATAATAGTAGCTATCAATATGTGTTAAACCATTATTGTTTGTGCCAAAAACCATACTAAACACATAATCTTACTTAATCATCAAAATAATCCGATTACTTTTCCCAAGTTATAGGTGAGTAACTGAGGCATAGTGAAAGGTACAATAATTTGCTTAAGGTCTTTCAGCTAATAAGTAGTAGCGCTGGCATTTGAACTGAAGCAACCTGGCACCAGAGGATCTGCTTCAACCACAATTATTTTATACCTGCTCTGTGTCAGGTACACACTTCCTTAAAGGTCGTCTCATTTATTCTTAGGCTAAGCATTCAAGAGAGGTGTTGTTTTCTCTTTTTGTTTCACATGAGGAAACAAAAGCTTGGGAGATTAAAAGAACCCTCTGAGGTCACACACTTAATAAATGGCAGTGCTAGTATTCAGAGCCAAAAAGGAAGACAGAATTGATTCCTGACTTTCTGCAGGAAAGTAGGTCACCACTTCGTTAGTCTATTTGAAAGGCTAATGTGTACTTAAGAGTATATTTAGTTGACATGGATGGCCAGTGCTTTTTCCTATTGTCCTAAAAACTTCATTGCTCCATTTCAGGGAAACATTTAGCCAGTAGAGCTCAGGAAAGTAAGTCCCTTATGTAATCCCTTAAAAGAGGGAAAAAAGGGCCCTCCCTGGTGGCGCAGCGGGTTAAAGCACAGCACTGAGAATCTGAAGCCACTTCCGCATGAGTTCGATTCCCGCCTGCCCCGGA